GACAAGAAATTTAATTATGGCCTTACCGATCTCTGGTTATTTTTAAAGATTTTCAACCACAACTCAGCTAACTCCAATTTTCTATATAAATTTTTCAACGTTCTATCTTTCTGGTATTTCTGTCAACGAAATTGCATGGGAAGACGAAACGGGAAAAAAAAGAAAAGAAATGGAAAGAGAAAAAGGAAAAATGTAACGCTAAATGGCCGCTTAGGGCCAGCCAGCCTCGATACTGTTGAAAATAATTAAAATTTTCTAAGGATTTTGTTTGTTTGTTTGTTTTCTTTTTCTTCCTGTTGCTTTTTAATATATTAGCGGGCGGTAAATTATATCTGACCACACAATTCTGTTTCAACAAAAATAATTATAAATAAGAAGAAAACGTTGAGTAATATTTCGACCCTAATTTCTTTCTCTCGCGACCCCAGGTTTGAGAAACGCTACTGCGCAGTTATATAGATAATTTGCACATGATAGCTAAATTTGTAAGTGATAGCTATATAGAAACCTGAAACATAATCTTTTTTTATACTATCGATGTGGCTAGATCTGGGTATGATGATGAACTACATCCAGCAGTAAGACATCTGATCGGGAGATTGGAGGATTGAGGAGCGTGAAAGCAACTCTTGTTACCAGGTTCACCCTGATCCTGGGTGGTAGCATCTATTAGGGTCCTATGTTGTTTTACATGAAGGTATAAAAATACGTTTTTATAGTAAAATGACCAGCAATACCTTTTTATAGTAGAATGACTAGCAATACATTTTATCTATAGTTGAAGGCATGCAGTTGCGTTCAAAATATTCATATTTCGGCATTAAATATCGATTGATACGCCGCTAAAAAGAATCAACCAATCTACACGAAAGAACTCTTTCATATACTCCAATAGCTTCATGTCTCGCACCTCTCGCCTGTGGAACTCCCTTCCCTTTTCCTGTTTCCCTGTAAGCTATAATCTCCAGCTATTCAAGTGTAATGTCAATCGACATCTCCAGTTGCCTTGATCTATCCACTACCCTCATCCTTTCCTCTATCACTCCTATCTGATCTTGTTCCAAATCTTCTGTAATCCCTTGCGTCCTAGTGGCTTCCCGCCTTGCTTGGGGTGAAATGCTTAAATATCAATAATCCATATAATCTTGTACAATTTCTTAAATAAATCAAACTCTATTACAAAATATAACTACAGCATATAACACACATGTCACCGTCTCTAGTAAATATGTCCACACAAACATGTATATGCACAAAATCTGAGTATCATCTACCATGTAATCAATTTAATATTCAGAATAATACCCTTAAAATATGCATGAGCCCAATTCATCTTCCTCTATACACACATATACATTTATGGTAGGGTAAGCTTTGAATTCTGCTGTCACATATCTTGTGCTCTTTAGAGTTCTCTGATAAAAGAATCTGTAATATAATTGGTCCCAACCAGGCATCTCGGCTTCACTCACTTTCCCACCGCCGTAATGTAGCTTCCCTGCGCATTTTCTATAACTACTTACATTTTAATTGTCCTAATGAAGTTTCCTCTATGGTACGTGGACTTCATGAATTTTAAGACAGTATTAAATTCGCGACAAGATCTCATAATTTTACATATGAAACGGCTAGATGTAACCGTAAGTTCTATGCTAACAGTTTCTTCTCTCGCACTTCTCGCCTGTGGAATACTCTTTTGGCTTCTTGCTTTCCATTCAAGTTTGAAGTTCAAAAATTGAGATGCAATCTCTTAATTATCTTCTTAATTTCTGTTTCTTTTATCGTTCTCGCTTCTTAATAATATTTTTCTTTTTTGTATTCTTTTACACTCAGTAACTTCTTGCGTCTTTGTTGCCTTGCTTGGAATAATATATATATATATATATATATATATATATATATATATATATTGCTCGGTCGATTTAGCTCGGACATTCATGAGTCTATCATGCCAACTATCACGGTCCTGCATCAAGGTCGGGGGGGTCATTAGGGGGTCATTCTGTGTCCAAAACATAGCTGATGATTGTTGGTGGTTGCTGGGTAACCAACTCGTCTTTCTCAATGGCTAGGTGTCCAGAACAGTAGAAAACAGGAAACAACATCCAATCAAATCATAGCTTTTTGGACCCATCCCTGATATTTCTACAATCTTACACAAACAGTGACTTTTACACAGAACAAATAACGGCAGATTTCTTAAAGACTCTAACGTTTTTGTTTATATTCCAGTTGATGTTTTGTAATTCTGTCGTATGAATAGTTTTAATTTTTTCCTCGGATTTCCAATGCTTATCACCACGTTGGAACCAATCCTGAAAAATTCATAGAATATAAAGTTTTCTGGACTGGTCCCAACATGGGGATAAGTTAATATTTAATCTATTCACTGAGTGTTCACACCAGTAGTAACTAACTGAAGATCAAGTGACAACAATTCTCACTACTTCCTCTTCAGTACTTTCCTTGGTTTCAGTTATAATGTTGTCTAAGTAGTTTCAATTTAGTTTTCCATTTCTTCAATCTCATTTGTAAAGTTCCTTGAGTCTATTCCAAGCACACCTATAATGTTGAGTACACATTCATTTCCTTTTCTTTTCGGTTCACTGGCTAAGTTCAGGCATTTTTCTAGCTTATCACCCATTTTCACTTACTTGTCATTATTTTTAAGTTCACACTTGGTGGTTTCGATTTTATGCTTGGAATTAAGTCACGGTAAGTCAAACTTGAGCTAACAGAGATGTGGTCCCACAGAAGTATGCTGAGAATGCCAAGGTTGGAACATGTCACCAATGAGGAAGTTTTAAAGAAGATGGAAACAAAAAAAAGGATACTTAGAATCAGGAAGAAGACAGTTGAAACTTTCCGGGAATAGAATGGGGAAAGAGGGTTTGGAGAAATTAGCAGGGCATAATGAAGGCAAGAGGGGCAGAGGCAAACAGTGAGTAACATACCTAATAATGAAAGAAAGAAAAATGACAGCAAAGCTCAACAGCAGCAGCAGCAGCAAAAAAGAAAGAAAACTCTAATGTGTGCAGTAAAACTACAGCAACCCTCATCAGCTGGCACGTTAGGTTTAATGCACCAAGTTCTCCACAGCAAAGAATAGTCTAATGCATTAAACCGTTGGTTTATGAATTTGGTGACATAGTAATTGTGAGTTCAATCCCTGCACCGGGATTAGACTCATAACATGGGGAAATACTGAGCAGTACTAAACAATAAGAACTGGACGAGGTATCCGTAGACATGGACAATGGAACGAGAACAGTCTTCCTTGGTAGATTACATACAGCACGGGTCGGCAACCTACAGCTCAAGTCTCTTCAAATCCCTAGTACCTTTCTCGGCATTAATGCTTAGAGCTAAAAAAAAATGGATGGGAATTTGTGGAGAGTCATGATTGTCGTATCCTGAAAAGACATGGTACATAAAAGATGAAATCAGTCTCTTCAAATCCCTAGCACCTTTCTCAGTATTAATGCACACTGAACACTGCCGTTTTTGAATAGTCTCATCTCTTTCTTTGAATTTGCATTTTCCAATCTGAGGTGCCTGATGAAGGCGACATGACATAAGGACGAATGACAAAAAAAAAATCTCTTCAGATCTTCATTATATATTCCACAGCATCTTCAGTCCTCGAGCAAGGTTTAATCCGTTTCACTTTTTTCTTTTATTTTTCTTCCTTGTCATACAGTTTGCTGAATATGAACGATTTGATAGAATAGTTTTTTGTTTGTTTGTTTCTTTGTTTTTTTCACATTCCAGTCGCATTGCCTCATTGAAAGTTTATATAGAATAATGGTTTTATAGAAGACTAGGTAGCGATGATCTTCGACAGAATTTTCTCTTTAAGTACTCTTAGACCTCTAGCCGCAAATTTACTTTGCCTTCCAATACAATTATAAGCCTAAGTCCTGAAAGACTTCTGTCCTATGCTCTTCCTGACAGCCAGAGGTTAAAATACAAGTTTTGGGCTATGTGCTCTTTTGTTTAATTTGTTTCCGGAAATATTTTTAAAGGTGCGCGAATATTTCCTAAAGAAAATTTTCTTTTTTTTTTCCTCTTTCTTAAAAAGATAAAAACAAAATTCTTCCTTTTTCTTTTTCCAAGGAAAAGAAGAAGAAAAAAAAACACGAAATATTAAGTAGTAAATTTGATTGTTGCTTTTCGGAATTTCGGTGTACTTACGCCCCGGCTTCTACCGCGAAAGGATTCTTCGTTGTATCAACTGAGGCAAAGATATAACTCCCGGGGGGAGAATTCGATACCTTGATCACGGATCAAAATTTTAAAAGGAAAAAAAAAAAGTTCTTTTTTTTCTTCTCTGGAAGACACAATAAAAAAAAAAAGATGAAATTTCTTCGTTAAAGCAGTGCATCATACACTGTCATTATTATTAGTTACGCATTTACGTACACAAAATGGCGTATTTAAATGCAGACAGATAGATAAATAAAAGCATACCCATGTGAATAAATACGCAGTTGCACACGATCTGAGACTCGAAAATAATACAAACCCAGAAAGGTGAATAAATTCATTAATCTGAGAACCATACAAAAACGAACCACATGAAATGGCATGCAAGCAAACTCGCTCACGCAACTATCGATACAAATGCTGGGATGGGTTTATAGAAACTATTCCATGTACTTCCCATTTAATCGCGTAAATGCAGAAGCAAATAGATCGTTACTTAGTATAACTAAGTCTGGCACAGGAGTACATTATTTGGACATCCAATGAAGGTCAAACTCGTTTCACTTGCGGTCAGTCTGTGAGATCTCTATTATAGAGTAAGTTTTCCAATATATTTAAATAGATATTCGCGAAACTTAGCAGGAAACTAAATGGTGATAATTGCTGTGTTGTAGGTGGGTGTCTGCAAGAAAAATCCCTTTAATTTTAACTCAATTTTTTTCAAATCCATTGGTGGTACAAAGTGACAGAATGATAATTCGAAAAACAAACGCCAAACGTCGCATTCTTTATGATCAGTTTCTACGAATAAACGATAGATAGATAGATAGATAGATAGATAGATAGATAGATATGAACAGACCAAGATAGATAGATAGTGTTGAAACTTGATTAATGCATGGAATAATAATACAACACAAAATGTACTTAGAACAAAATGTATTGAAACAAGAATGTGTACACAATATTTACATATAGTCTTTTGTATATTCCTGGGAAGACCGTTCCTGGAGAATGTGTTGACTTAGTCGCAGTTGGGCAGAGTCTCTGGATTGAATCTCTTGATTCTTCCCTCGTCTTCCCGGTACCAACCATATTTATATGGTCGGTACTCCACTATGCAAATTAGGTGGATCCTACCACAACAGATAGATAGATAGATAGATAGATAGATAGATAGATAGATATGAACAGACCAAGACAGATAGATATGAACAGACCAAGATAGATAGATAGATAGATAGATAGATAGATAGATAGATAGATAGATAGATAGATAGATCAAGATGGATAGATATGAATAGATCAAGATAGATAGATATGAACAGACCAAGATAGATATGAAAAGACCAAGATAGATAGATAGATAGATAAGGTTGTAAAACGTTTTATAAGATCTTTTATTCATTCAAGTTTATAACAGCATTATTCAGTTATAAAATTATTTTACCTGACTTTCTGTGAACTTAAATCACTTTTAACTAAATTTTGTATTCAGTAACAATAATGCTTCAGATTTTGTAGTAGAAAAATTCTTCGGGACATTTTTTCGAGATAGATGCAAAAGTATCTACCGCTATTTTCTGCACACGTCCATCCTTACACTGAAAAAAGAAACAACAGAGAAAACGATCATAAATCTAGAATAGAAAGTTCTTCAATGTATGGCATCTTCTCTATATCTGTCACCATCAGACAATCATTTGGTTCACTCCATGCGACATCCCTTGTCTCTTTAGCTAGCCTTTGTTGTATTCATTGATATATCTAAACTCCCTCTCTCTCACTCTCTCTCTCTCTCCATATATATATATATATATATATATATATATTGGCACAAATACCCTTGGAAATGTATGCACCCATGTCCTCCTCCCCAACTAGGAGTTAATACTGGACTGACATACCACGCTTTGGTTGGCAACCTTGCCCAGAGGGACAACTCTGAATTCAAAACATTTTAGGAATTGGGCGAGTAAATTCACTTTCCTATGCAACCCACGGCAAAAAACACATGCCATTGTGAGGCTGTAGCCGTATACTCCATGGAAATATAAGGAATTAATTAAATACATGCATATGTATATATATATGTGTGTGTGTGTGTGTGTGTGTGTGTGTGTGTGTGTGTGTGTGTGTGTGTGTGTGTGTGTATTGCAATCTGGTGGTCATGAAATAAACCGTTGGAACATGTAGAGAAGCACCAATTCAGCAGGAACAAACAATAACAGACATCACAATAATCCACAGATATCCATACCCACCAATTAATAGACTCCTGATGATGACCAAAGTTTACGTGGTCGAAATGTTGTGTCTATAATAACATCAATATTAACAAAGATGACAACCATAGTTCGACATAATACAAGAATAAAGTAAACGCGATTTTGAAATGTCGTGGTAAAAACAACAGGGAGAAGGAAAATGCTCGAGAGTTCTGCCATTGAATATTATCTAAATACACGCCCAGGATTTTTCCCAATATCACCTTTCCTAACAGAATTACTATTCTCCTAAGCCAACGTATACAACAACTATATCAAGAAATCAAAAGAAAATGGTTGAATACATCAACACAACAATAAAAAACAATCTTCATTCACGTGTTTGTTGTTAATAGTTACTTTGTTTTCAATAAATTCATTTCGTTTTCGCATTGAAAAAGTTCACATTGGACGAAACGCGTCGGCTAATAATGCAGTTTTCCTATTGTCTTTTACCTTTTTACATAACTGTATGTATATGCACAACCCTACAAACATACATATGTATCGCCATACTCGTAAAAAATATAACTACATGTACAAAATTCATATGTACCTTCACTACTCTTCCCCTCTCATTCCATTACCTTGTATGTAAAGGAACCTTAGTGATAGATTCTATGATGGTATAAAAAGGGATATTCCAATCAAGAAGTTAACTGCAAAGTAGCCCTCAGTGTACTGGGTAATCCTGCTATTACAGGCTAACTACGACATGATAAAAAAAACATAAGGCAGTAGGATAATTGCAAAATATGTTGTTGCGATTGAACTGGGGAATATATATATATATATATATAAAATATTATATGTTCAGGCTTTTCTCGATTCTGAGCAATTTCTATCACTATATCTACGGTCTCAAACTATTAATTAAAATATTATTTTCGTTATCTATCTACTATTAAAATATATATGTATATATATATATATATATAAACTTGTTTTCAGGATTTTCAATTTCGATATTTCGATTAATTAAAATATTATTTTCGTGTTGAAGATGGTTGTTAGAAATATAATCAAAAAATAAACAAAAGTCAGTTTCGTTTAAGGAAATTATATATATATATATATATATATATATATATATATATATATATATATATATATATATATATATATATATATATATATAAAATAAAATAATATAACATACATATATATATATATTAATATATATATATATATATATAGTTGTATATAACGATATATATATATATATATATATATATATATATATATATATATATATATATGATTGTGTGTGTGTCAGGGTAAACCAATCTAAAATAACAATATTGTAATCGATTTGCACTCTAGCAGTAATGATTTATTAGTTCTTTACGACATAGTAGTACTTCCAAACTGGTGTATAGATGCAAATGGATGTATGATCCTTGTAAAGAAAAAGATCGCGCAAGAGAGACAGAAGAAATTTAAGAGATAAAATATGTGTATGTGTGTATATGTGCATGCATCGATATTTTTGTGTGTGTGTGTATGTGTGTGCTAACGTAGAAAGATTTTCTTTTGTAATTTTAATTTAACGCACTTTGTTGACAAACATCTCATGAAGAAACACTCGTTAACAATGGATTGATAGCGTAAGAAGTGAGACAAGATGGCGCATGCGCAAAGCAGAATCACAATACAATCGGCAAATCGAAAGAAAAATCAGATAAGCGTTTGCATAGGAAGAAAGAAAGAAAGAAAGAAAGAAAACAAGAACAAAAAGCAAAATAGAGAAAAAAATTTATAAAAAGATATTAAGAACAAGAGTAGAATTTGTGAAATGTAAAAAGTTTGATGAAAGAAATACAAATAGAATCGGAAAGAAAGACAGACAGAACAATATGAGAAAGAAAGAAAGGACAAAAGAAAGAAAGAAATAAAGAAGGAACAATATAAGAAAGAAAGACAGAAAGAACAATATGAGAAAGAAAGAAAGAAAGGACAAAAGAAAAAAGAAAGAAAGAAGGAACAATATAAGAAAGAAAGACAGAAAGAACAATATGAGAAAGAAAGAAAGAAAGAAAGGACAAAAGAAAAAAGAAAGAAAGAACGAACAATATAAGAAAGAAAGAAAGGACAAAAGAAAGAAAAAAAAGTAAAACTATTTTAGCAGGAAAGATAGAAAACGTGCAATAAAACGAAAATAAATATTTATTTCTCAGATGCAAATGTGAAAAATTACAATATATATATATATATATATATATATATATATATATATATATTGTGTGTGTGTGTGTGTGTGTGTGTGCTGTGTGTGTGTATGTGCCCTTTTCTGTGTGCTTGTGTTTAAAAAGAAAAGAAAGAAACGTAAAAAGTGTGCACAAGTGAAAAGAGAATATTGTGAACAAATGAGAGGAAAGTATTTTTCGGTGTAAGGAGAATAAAAGGAATGAATAACCAAAAAAAAAAAAGAAAAGCGGCAACACGTTAAGCGAACAATTGAATAAACAACAAGAAAACTTCACTAAACAAATACAACCCACAACCAAACCACAGGCGTCATGACACTGATGTCACTCAGGTATAAACAGCAAAACACAGCAACAAATCAAATGCTGAGAAACTCAAACAATAGCCCCATCCACTTCCTCTATTCCCAATCGATTGATTGATCTATCTATCTATCTATCTATCTATATATATATATATATATGTGTGTGTGTGTGTGTGTGTGTGTGTGTGTGTGTGTGTGTGTGTGTTTGTGTTTGTGCAAGTATATCTATCTATCGATCGATCGATCACGCAATCTATTCTCAGTATATCACTACCTTAATCTGTATATTATCTCTATCTCTGTTCAAGTAGTACATCAGTCTATCTATCTATCTATCTATCTATATATATATAATATATATATATATATATATATATATATATATCCCTATCTATTTCAATGTGTATATTTTACCTTTCTATGTCCCGGTTTATCACTATCTAAATATATATATATATCTATATCAATATCTATCTATCTCTCTCTCTCTCTATATATATATATATATATATATATATATATATATACCTATCAGTCTATATATCTGTCGCAGTGTGTCCATATATATCTATATACTTATCTGTCAGCATATCTGTATGTCTATTTGTCTCAGTGTATTTACATCTATCTCCTAGTATAGCACTACCATAATGTGTCTTTTATCTGTCAATCTGTATATATGTCTGTGTATATATATATATATATATATATATATATATATATATATATATATATAGATAGATAGATAGATAGATAGATAGATAGATAGATAAGTGTATTTGTGTGTGTTATTATCAATATATCTAAATCCGTTTATATCTACCTGTCTCATATATTTTCTATATAGTATATATCAGTATCTATCTTAATGTACGTCTTTATCCATCTCCGAGTATATTCCTAAATTCCCTTTTTATGTCGCAACTATCTATCTACCTCCCAGTATATCCCTATCTATCTCACCATGCCTTCAATATCTATCTATCTCTCACCTTTCTCTCTCTTTCTCCCTCTCTCTTTATCCATCTATCTCTTTCTCCTAATTTCCTAGCCTCTCTTTCTGTCTCATGTTCTCTTTCAACTTTCTGTAGATTCATTTCTCCACCTACTCTCTTATTTTCTGTCTCTTTCTTTCACTCCGGTTTTCTTTGTGCCTCTCTCTGTATATCTATTATCTGTCACTCTCTCTCTCTCTCTCTCTCTCTCTCTCTCTCTCTCTCTCTCTTCTTTGTCATTGGATTTCCAAGAAGTATATAAAACAAACGAATAGAACAAAACCAAAATAAAAATCAAGCAAAATGGCGGAACAAGAGGGCTGCTCTTGGCTAGAAGAAAGGCTCCACACGAACACATCGACCGACCGCTGTTCACTACCAAGTACATCGATTACTTGTCTTATATTTACAGGCGTTTCTTTCTTTCTTTCTTTTCTTTTTCTTTTTTTTTTTTTTTTTTGATTTGGTTTTTGTTTTTTTACCCACTCACTCTCTTCCAAAAAAGACAGGGCTCTACCTAGTATTATCAGCTGAGCTCGGCCTCAGACCAACAATTGATTGCACTCAGTTTAAAATGCGTCGAGTACGCATGTGCGAAATTTTAACTTTTTTCTTTTTCCTCTTCTTCATTTGCCATTTTGTTTCTTTTTATATAATTTTGTTCCTTTTTCATATAATTACACGCTTTTCTTTAAATTGTATTTCCATTCGTTACTTTTTGGTGCGGGGGGGGATTAAATGTTAATGTTATTTGTTTCAAATGAGATAAAACATTAGAGGAAACGAGTTAGCGTATGATTCTATCATGTGTTTTTTTTGTTTTTTTTTTCACAGAGAGAATCTATTTTTTTTTCTACAATTAGATTCTAGCATACGTCACTAATGAGTAGAACAAAGAACAGAAGGCTACTTAACTCTATATCTTGTTCCATTGACCAAATAGTTTCTATGATCTCATGAATGATACAAAAATACTGTAAATGAAGAGTGAACTAAGACAGAATCCATGGTCGCCAGCAAAAGAGACAAGTCAAGGTGTAACCTATGTAATGGGAACGCCAAAATCAAGCCGATGCAGATACTTAACTCTCTTGGTCAGTGGTAGCCACATCGTGCGTCGCGTCACATAGCTGCGGTGGAACATGATAGCAGGTGAGGCGGAATAATTGAAAGAATATCAAAGATTTAGAAACAGTTTTAAAAAATTCATATGCTAAAAAATATGATTTCAAAATTGAAAATCTTATTATGAATTAATTTTAATTGCATGCATGAGTCCCATTATAAATAATTATAAATAATTATTAACCGATTTTATCATTGTGATATTTTTGCATAATATCAAGTATTAAGAGTATAGTCACTAGGGTCTGCAAATTGAAGGAGAGAGTTATCAATAATAATATTCTAACTTCAAATTCGCGATTATCCCCATTTAACGCTGTCTCTGTTATTTTTCTTTTTAAATGTACTTTTTATCACATAAAATTTGGTAAGGCGCAAACAAATTTTAATTCCGAAAATGCAGCCTAGACAAAAAACAAGTTTCTGCTTTAGGTATGAAGAAAGTGTTACCATAGAACTTATGTTTACATCTAGATATTTCAACTGTAAAATGATGAGACCTAGCCGCCAATCTAGTACTGCGCTAATACATAACGGTTAGTCCATTCTTCAAGATTTACTTTGTTACATTCTACAGGAGCTTTTGTATTTTTCTTTCAGAACTGCAACAGACTAGCTCGTCAATCTTTAGACCACGCTAAGGCGTGAAAGTAACTGCTATTGTTAGTAAAATTTTAATATATATATATATCTTTTCTCTTTCAGATACTTCAACGTAACTGACAAAGGGGAAATAAAAATAATCACAGATCCGAGTAAACTAACGAAAAGCTCTTACCAACTAATGATAATGGTAGACGACGGAGGGAAGCCGCCTCGTCGGACGCTGGTCAACGTAACAGTCAACTTTCCAGCTTTAGTAGTAGCTGGACCTTCATCGGGTAGCGGTTTAAGCCAGAGTGATACCTTGCTGATCGTTCTTGGGGTCTTTTTGGCCATATTTGTAATTCTGGCTGTCTTTCTCAGCATCTACATTGCACGACGGTATGTACAGAATCTTAAAGAAGCAATTAAACTACTAATTAATACTTACTTTGAAATCGTCCAGTATTAACAGCTCCCAATTACCCCCATTTGATATATATATATATATATATATATATATATATATATATATATATATATATATATATATATATATATATATATATATATATATTTTTTCGGCAGTAATCCTTTTTTTTCGTTTCGTTAAAAACGACTAACAAGGTGCTGGGGTTAAGTTTTTTAAAAAACTTAAGAATAGCACCATGGTAGCTGTTTTTAACGAAACTTGCATATATATATATATATATATATATATATATATATATATATATATATATATATATATATAAAAAGAATTCATGGATTTATTTTTTGATACGACAATTTTATTACTTCTAACGTTATTATACTGGATACTTCGTATTTGAAGTAACGTTTGATGTAATATATATATATTTATTTATTTATTATAATTTTTTCATATAGACAAAAACAATTTACTCACTACAAAGATGCAACTTCGTTTCAGTGCATTTAAAATTGGGCTTCGACAGGTGAGAAACGGAGTTGCATTTTTGTAGTAAGTAAATTGTTTTTGTCTATATGAAAAACTTATAATAAATAATTATTGCTCTACTATCGGTATTGAGCATTCTTTGGGATTTTGGATTTATGATGTGAACGTTAGAATTTATATATTATTTTCGTTCTCATAACATTCGTTATTTTCAGCAGTGGGTACTCGGATTTGAGCGGACGGTTTGTTTATTTATTAAACAGTATATTAATTTTCATGCACACACACACACACACACACACACACACATATATATATATATATATATATATATATATATATATATGATGTGGCAGAAATACCTACTATATATACCTCCCAGAAATACCTCCCGCATAATGATAAGACATTAGTGACAATGTTGTCTTCATCTAGCACATATCATTATGTATGAGGTAAGTTATTCCTGCCGTACTATATATATATATATATATATATATATATATATATATATATATATATATATATATATATATATGATATGATATGATATGTCCCGGAAAGGGATATATTTGAACGAAGTAGCTAAGTGGTTTTGGCTACTATAACCAAGTAGAATACAGTAGCAGTAATCGACTGGTACGCGCCATAGTCGCAGGCAAGAAGTGTAGATCAATGGCGTAGTCCAATGGGCGTCGTTATAGACTTAGCTATCAGACTAAGGCTCTATTGACTCTCCTACACGTCCGTCGGTATTTATGACGGAAACCAGCCAATCATATTCCAGTGAGGGGGAACACAGGTGTACGCATATTCCATTATATCATATATATATATATATATATATATATATATATATATATATATATATATATAATTTGACAATGGAAAACGTTCACGAAAGTAGATTTGTTTAGAAATATATCCGGTAATGATTTCGCCATTTAAGGCTTCATCAGACCCGATAGCGGAAAAATGAAATGTGCGTATGTGTATTTGTGTGTATGTTTAAATAATGTAATCTTGGTACATTTTCCCTAAGCAGTCGTTTCTCGTGACTAAAGAAGAAAGAAAAAAAAACAAATCTTTTACTTTCTACCCATTCTAAAGGATTATATGAGGATTAACCTTGGATCCATTTTCACAAAAGGCTAAATAAGTTTCTACCTTTTGAGCCATTCTGGAGGAGAAAATTTACCTTTTAATTTGATACATGAAAGCTGGGAAAATATATAACAACTTTCGACTCGAACTGAGAGTAAAGAAAATAAATGTTAACGACTTCTAAAAAGTCACTCATTTTCTTTCTTCTTTAGTCACGAGAAACGCCAGCTTAGGGAAAAAGTACTAAAATTTCATTATTTAAACACACACAAATTCATTCT